GTAGAAAACATTTACCTCTACTTCTTGTCTTTGTTGTACATTTTCCATCTTTCCTCCCTTTTAGCTGAAATTTTGGAAAGTTGTATAAAATAAAATAAAAATAAATTGGAAAAAGACTACAAAGTCTACAAAGTCTACAAAGTCTTCAAGAAAGACCCCATCAAGTGAAGACTACAAAGTCTTCAAGAAAGACCCCATCAAGCGAAGACTACAAAGTCTTCAATTTGAATGCGAAATATTTAACCCTTGTGAAAATTCAAAAATATCTTCCGCGTCCATGTCTCTATATTCATAGTCATATGTTCTTTGGCCCAGCTTACTTCTAAATAAAGTTTCTACTCTCTGATCTATCATGGTCATGCCCATCAAGTACTCTAAGTTGGGCCCTAAACATGACCCACTGACACAAATTTTCCACCATAGTTCCAAACCAATGGACACGACACGACAAAGAACACGACACCATTGTTCCATAGTTCCACCCTAGCTCCAAGTACATGACAAAGAACATGACCCACTAACACGAATTTTCCACCCTTCCAAGCCAAAAGATGTAATAAATATGAGCTTGTTAACCATTTAAGTGTAGCAGTCAAAATTCAATAGTAATAAATATGAGCGTTGCTGTGAAACTCTAATTTGATTATTTGAAGTTGAAGCCAATTGGTAATGAAATCTATAACACAATGTTTCTTAACAAAAATTTATCATTTCCATTACATAAATAGAGCATTCTTTCTTATTATCCCCAGTATACTATGGCCAAATAAAAGAGATGCATATATCTAAGAAGCGATCACAATGCAGAACTACAAACTTGTGTGATCACAGAATCAAATCCAAAAAAAAGAACAAGAACAAGATTGACAAGCAGGAAATAAGCTAGTACTGGAAGTAAAACCTTAGCGGCAATGCAATGCAATACAAACAAAGCTGGTTTCAGCCTGTTCTGGTGGTATGTGAGGATGGACATGGAGGAACATGCACTTCCACCACGCCTTCAAGCATCTGCACAACTTTCCTCATTGTTGGTCTAAGAGACGGGTCATCTTGAATACACCAAATACCAATCATCACAAGCTTTTCCGGCTTCATTCTATCATCCAAGGCCTGAACTTCATTATCTAGAACTAGAACAGCATCTAACATTCCTCCGCGGTAGCAATCATAGACCCAATCCGTTAAAATTGCTCTCTCCTCACGGCTATTGTCCGCATCAACGCTTCTCCTACAGTAAATGATCTCAAGCAGCACAACACCAAAGCTATACACATCAACTTTGGCAGTGATTGGCATGTTACTGAACCACTCAGGGGCAACATACCCTTTTGTTCCTCTAATGGCAGTATGAGTCTTGCTCTGATTTATCATCAAAAGCTTTGCCAATCCAAAATCAGATATCCGAGCAGTGTAATAGTCGTCAAGCAGTATGTTCTGAGGCTTTATATCACAATGGATGACTTGGGTGCTGCACTCTTCATGCAAGTACAAAAGTCCTTTGGCAACTCCACAAGCAATTTCAATTCGCTGCGTCCAACTGGGTTTTGTATCAGCAAAAAGGAAGCTGGCTAACGTGCCCTTGCTTAAGAACTCATATACTAGCAATCGATGTTGCCCTTCGTCACAATACCCAACCAGGCAAACTAGATTCTTGTGATGTGTCTTTCCAATTACCCGCAGTTCTGTCTTGAATTCCTTCTCACCATCTTGTATCACACCGTTTAGCTTCTTCACTGCCACTTGGACACCAGAACCAATTTGTATTGTCCCTTTGTAAACAACTCCAAAGGCACCTCTTCCTAATTCTTCTGTGAATCCATTTGTAGCTTCTTGAAGCTCTTGGTAACTAAAAGAATGCAAATTTGAGTCCAAAATATTTTCGACAGACCTTACATGTTTCTTCCGGAAAACAAAGAAAAATCCCAGACAAGCAGCAGCACAGAACATAAAACTAACAAAGATAGAGGCAGCCAGAATTATAGACTCCACGCGTATCAAAGTGTTACTGCTCTTCTTCTTCGTCTTCTTATCATCTGGATTTGGCATTGGAGGAAATTGTAGAGTTGAATTATCCTTTCTGACTTTGATGAAGGCCTTTGAATTAAGACTCATATCCACTCTCCCATTTGAGAGAGGTAACTTCTTTTTCAAGCAAGTTTCAGAACTGAAAGTAGCAACAGCACACAAACAATCTTGAAAGCAAGATTCATTGCACTTCTCTGCGGTAAAAGGCTTTAACTCTATATAATCTGAGATTGGCCAATCTACATTTGTTAGCACCTCAACATCATATAAATCTTTTGTGCCACTAAGCTCGTCTTCTTCACAGCCTTGTATGAAATCCGGTTTGCATCCCCCATACGGATAATTTGGATCAAGTAAAGAGAACCCTGTTGGGCATTCACAGGTTGGCCTCTTATCTTCTTTGAGAGTGCAGATACTGTTGTACCCACAAATACCAACACCTGAGGTTTCAGGTTGACTTCGGCAAATATCATCTGGCTCTGACCACAGAAGATTCCAGCTTACATTTCCAGTGGAATTCTTTGGGTAATAATATTGAGCAAAAATCCCATCAAAGTTGAGAGTTGCTCTAATATAGTTGTCCCTTGCTGAGACTGCGTCTCCCACTGCAACATTGCTCTTTCCACCATTCTCACTCAGAACATACAAGTAGCCTGAGACATTGAAAACCAATTCTTTACCTTCACTACCTGCCACAGTCCCATTGGTAGTGTGAGTTGCATAGTAAGGTTCGTTGGGAAACTGAGTTGGCAAGTTTATGGTGCTGATCACAAGGTTCCCATCTTCTTGAAAAAGCAGCTGGAACCTTCCTTTCGAATAATTAGTCTCCGATTGTCGAGACAAAAGCTTCCCACTTCTTTCAAATGTCTGTCCAGGCAACATAGTATCAGTGTGATTGTTGAATGTCTCCCATAAGCTTTTTGAATTACTATCTTGAAGAACAAAGTTGCCTGTATCATTCATGACCCCATTGGCAACAACACCAACACTGGTTTCAGATTTCCATAGCTCTTCACCCTGAGGACTTTTAAGCACTAGACCGCTGTTGGCAGTCAAGTTCACAGTTGACCCCTTGGGTGCAACTGCAGCCTCATTATCCCCATTTGCATACCAAACTACGGTTCTATCGGGGATTTTGGCATACCATATTGAAAGCAAGAAGAGATCATTGTTTCCAAGTGGCCAAAATCCAAAGGCAAAATCACCAGATGGAGAAAGCCATGATGAGGAGGAGTTTCCTTCTGCAGTTGCAGTGAGAGAAGCACCGACTGCGATGCTACCATTAGTTTGAGCTAACACAGAAACTGGTAGCAGAAACATTGAGGAAAACAAAAGCAGCCGTATAGTAAAAGCCATTGCCAATTTTGCTGCACCAATGTGGATATGCTAAATTAGCTAGCTTAGCTATATTTCGTAACGAAGCATGGGGCCATGGCCTTTGCTTCCTTGCAAGCTATAAGTGCGTGTACCACAGGCTGTAAGTGCGTGTACCACAGGCTAGACTTCAACATTTGACTCGGCATTGCTCATTTCTAATTGACTTTGTGTCTGTGTAGTCTTTTAACCATCCAATACGGCACAAAATTCTGGTATATGTCCATATCATAGTTTTTGTCTATTTATATTTTAATTTTGTTTTCCTAGTAGCATTATATTTCGATACTTATATGCAAAAGGTTAAGATGAAATGACCCCTTCGTTAAATCAGATGGATACAGTGAAAGCTGATGATACTGTGTTTCACTGTCAAAGGTAAAGCCTACAAAAAGGGGATGATGTCTCCTGCTCAAATAATCTGAATAGTCTGCATTGTCCTATACAAAATTAGTGCATGACAAGTCTATAAACTGATGAGTTATGGATGTTACTCCAGCCCACGGATTTGCAGCATTGTAACTCATAACCAGGACAAAAATATCATTTGGAAGAAAAATTGGCCTAGGCGGTAGGACACCGCCGCGATTTCACCCTACTTGTTATATCAAAGCATAATCTATTCAATTGAGATTTTAAAAGACTATTTAGGGATAAAAAAGTCTAGTGGATTTAACTAGAATATAATGACTTATAGGATTTTATTTATGGATTTATATAATAAAGATTTTTTACTTAAGAAATTTAAAGATTTCTATAATAGGATTTATAAGATTTGAAAGGACCACATGGATTTTTCTGGGTTCAACATAAGATTTTTTTCGAAGAAAAATAGACCCATAAAAATTAAAAGTTAATATTATTTCATTGTTTGTATGTCTTTCTCAATACAAAAATAGGAAATAATATTATTTCATCAACTTCTGAACTCTTGCTGCCCCGTCCCAGCATCCCACGCTAACATACAGGTTTGCCAATTGCACATGGGTAGAACCACACTTTGAATATGTACTGCGCATCTTTGACATCCCCAAGATAAATTATCTTTGCCTTCCAAGATACATTACCTAGTTGTAGTTCTTTCATTAACTAGGTTTTGTCTCTGGTGCCTTTTCAGGGTCCAATTTGCTTAAATTTATGAAGGGCATTCTTGATTATGAAACAACTAAGCAATACTTTTAAAGTGCTCTTAAAGATTTCTTTAGTTGACTTCAACTTTTATGGCTTATTAGTTTGTGACTGTGGGTAGTGACTTGTTTATTGAGATGACAACCCTATCACTAATTGCTGGCAAAGAGCACTTCTGCCATGCCCAAGAGCTCCACTGCCTGTGCAAGCACTCATAATACTTGCATACGTAAAATCATTGGGTTTTGAAGAATGCCTTATCTCACTGAAAAACTGCACACACACATCAACCTGCCACTCTTGTGCAAACCCTGAAATAATGGATGTACACGACACCACATTTCTCACAGGCATTTGCCTAGTGATTTTTCGAACATTATCCGTAAATAGGCATTACAGAAACAAGTTTTTCAGCTTTCACTTCAGTCTTTTCTGCTGTAGATCATAAAACATAAATCCTAAAAGACAGACAATACTTACTTATTAGTACATAAAAGGCAAACTCCACCAAAGTTCTTACAATGATACAAAACACATTGAGGCAGCCACTATGCTTTTACATTAACTCGTTGCCAGGTTGATCCTTCATCCTCTTTGGTCTTCCCCTCTTAGGCTTTGGCATTTCAGGATCCCTGTTTTATGAAGGCTTTAGCTATAGATTTCTAGAGAGAGAGAGAGAGAGAGAGAGAGAGAGAGAGAGAGAGAGAAGTGGATACCTATTGTTTGGTGTGCTCCTCTTGGGACGACCTCTTCTCCTTTTCGCTCCGCACCTTCATGGTGAAATAATCGTAGTTGATTACTAAGAGGATATATGCAAGCATACATACACACATAAATGTATCCAAAACACATGTTCATCACATGCATCCATGTCCAAGCACAATCATGTGGCCACTAACATTAAAATATATCTCGACATATATATTTATATTTTATATATATAGACACAGCGAGTGCGAGAGAGAGAGAGAGAGAGAGAGAGAGAGAGAGAGAGAGAGGAAGATACCCTTGATTCCCCTCAACTGAATGATCTTGCGTCCTCTTTGGCCTTCCTCTATTTAGCTCTTGCCTCCCCCTGTGTGTTCATAGTCAGATTTGTTAATTTTATGCAAAATCTCTAGGAAAGCATACACATACATGCTTATGTTCTGGTACATGCACCCATATTTATACTTACGTGTGTGTGTGTGTAGAGAGAGAGAGAGAGAGAGAGAGAGAGGTGGGTGGGGTGGGGTGGGGAAGTTACCCTTGATTCCCATGAACTGAATAATCTTGCATCCTCTTTGGCCTTCCTCTCTTTAGCTTTTGCTTAACCCTGTGCGTTCATAGTCAGATTTGGTAATTTTATGCCAACCCCCTAGAAAGCATACATATATTGCTCATGTTTCCGTATATGCACACACATAGAGTGAGAGTGTCACGAAGACAATTTGAATAAATGGACAGAGATGGAGAAATTGAACATCTAATAGAAATACACGATTGCCTTTGTATTCCTAAATTTACTGTGTGTCAGTATAATTGCAAATACAACAATGTCCTTGAAGTGAATGCATTGCAGTAGATGAAACAATCACCGTAAATGATATTATATGTACTCTTTCACATTCTCTCTCTCTGGCCAAAAAAAAAATTCTTCATTTTGTTAATATCTTAAGGATAAGAAAACTTTATGTGGTGATTTTATACCTCGCCGATGTGTTAGCACTCATAATTCCAGCAAAACTGAAAAAGCAAAATTCAAGAACTTCAGCTCTACGAAACATCGGGGAAAAAAGAACAGACAGCAGTGAAAATCATACTATTTTCATACTAGAACGTAAAAATGGGATTATTTTGTATTCAAGCAGGTTACTTACTGAAGAGGCATATTGCTGCTAGCTGACTGACCAGATCGGTTCCTTTTCCTTCCCCTTCTTGGCCTCTCATTTGGCTCAAATTCTGTCTCTTCTAAACCAATTTCTTGTTTTTGGTGCCCCTGCTGGTTTTCATCAAAGTTCAGATAAGGCACATATGTCCCACAGCCATAAGTAACAGTGTAGTTAATACCCTGTGTCTTCTGAAGATCATCTTCGTTGAAATATTCTAGCTCATTCATTTTTGTTGTCTCCACCTTTACTTCTACCATCCTACTGTCCTCTTCCACTTCTAATTTTGCGTCTTCCTCTTCCACTGTTGCATCTTTCACTTTTACCATCATTGTTGCAACTTCATCTTCCACTTCTTCTGTAGCACACTCTTTCACTTCCGCTTTTTCATCTTCCTCCTCTTCAAATACTGCATCTTCCACTTCCACTTTAACTAATTTATCTTCCTCTTTCATTTCTGCTGTTGCCTCTTCCGCTTCAACTTCAACTGGTGCATCCTCTTCTTTAACTTCTGTTAAATGATCTTCTGCTTCAACTTCTACTGACACACATTTTCCTTTTGCTTCCATTATTGCATCTTCCACTTTTACTTCAGGCATGACATCTTCTACTTCCTCTATTTCCATCTCTACTACAGCCTCTGTGTGGTTATAAGGTTTTCTTTTCTTAAACGGCAATTTCTCTCCTGTTTCAGAACACCACTCGAGAAATAAAGTTAGAAAAACACATTCTCCAACGTAGTTGCCAATAAAACAGGAAAATCTTGGAGCAAGGAGAAACGGAAATGTAACAACATGCATGGAATCAGCTTCAGTCCAAGTAGCTTTGTGCCTTGCACATGTCCCCACTGATGGGTCATATTGTAGTTCGATTGACACTTATATACGCCATAAATGTTACTGGAATAATAAAACTTAAATACATCACATGTTGACTGATGTAAGAATTTAGAAAACCTCAGATTCACCTATACATGAGCAAGATGTCTTTAGCTATCACTATGTTGTGTTAAAAGACCAAAATTCAGGCACTTATGCCATTCAAGATCTGAATTATCACTACAGTCACTTAATATATGCATTAGTATGATACATCATAGACCTTTCTGATAGATTATCATCAAGTGACTCTTCATAAGATATGTACTCAACTATTCTACAGTATTCCCCTTAGTATTGGATTTCCAACAGTGTCAACAGATTATAATCAAAGACAACTTGTGCTAATATATGGCTCATTATACTTGTCTAAGAAAAGGATAACGAGCCATATATTAGCACCAAAAGTTTTATTATTTTCAACCCAATCGTAGGAAGGAATTGAGACCATTATGGCCATCAAATTTCTTAAATCAACAAGGCATTCATATTTTTTTTTTTTGGTGTTTAAAACTTCATTCAAGAGCCAAAAGGCAAGAAGGCACAAAAGCCAACCTGAAAGCAAGAAGGCAAATAGCCAAAGCTACAAACAGCCAAACTAGGCACCAACAAGACATTCATTGATATGCAGTTTTGCAGAGGAAAAAAACCTTCCAATTATAAAAGTAGTTTACCTGGTTGAGAAAAAGTGTAAGGAAGAGCAATGTCAGCAGCAGAAGTTGTGCTTTCTCTACCCCTGTAGTGAAAAGACGTTATTTGAATTTCGTAGACCTCATGTTGAAAAAAATTTCATACAGAAAAAATTTAAGCAGAGCTTCTTTGTACAAATTAACAAGCATAGACACAATTTTACTTTCACCATCAATCTATTAGCATTTAAATTACGAATAAACAAATAAGGAACTTGTGTTCTATCAGAATATAATGCAAACGGGGATGTGCATGTATGAACCAATCAAAGAAAATTATAGATATTAATGGATTCATCATAGATCTTAATGGCAAATAAAATGGCAGATGAGAAAAGTATCTATATTTCCAAATTAGAATGACCAATTGGCGATTGTAGATTTCAGCAGGTGCAAAAGATGAGAAAGGACAAGAAATAAGTTACCCTGGAAAGCCAGCACATGAAGAAAACTCTTTCCTTTTATCTGCTGCTCCTTCACTCTGCCCTTCTGAGGCCTACATGGAAAATAAAATTAAAATCATATCTTTTGAAACATTAAGTAACCTAATTGACCTAAGCTTTGTAGGTGTTATGAAGCCTGAATAAGAATACGTTAACTAAAATAATAAAAAGACAATAACAAAATTGATATGGAGATGAATGAATTCAATAAATTGCACATTCCTAAAGCAAAAACAAAGGAATGGCTAAAAGACTAATTACCGGATTTGTATTGATTCGCATGCAATGCTTCGCATATTTCTCCTTATCAACACAGTTCAAAGGCCTAATTCCTGTACTGCTTTCTGTTTTCATTTCATCATGCAATAGATCCTCCCTTGCAACTTGAGCAGGAAGTTGTTTTATTGCAAAGCAGGACCATCCCATGCGTCTATTCTCTTCTTCAACTAGAAAGCGGCCGCATTGTGAACCTTGATGTGAACAAAGATGAGCAGCCCTAGGTGTGGACTCAGGTGGAGTCGTCTGGGAGAAATTTGACCGACTATTTCGAATTCTCATCTTTATGTAGGAAAGTCCTCTGAGGAAAAAAGAAGATGCAAGAATTTAGAATTAGGAAAGTTTGCAGAGGGATTCTACAGGGCGAGTGCTACGAGGAAACTAAACTCTTAAGACAATATAGTCCTCTGAGGGAGAGATGGTGAACCTGACTGTAACGCCAGCATTTTCTTGTTCATTAATTACGTGTACATTACTGAAATGCATGTACTACACGTGTAGAATTATATCCATTTCCAGTTAGGGTGAATGCTTCATTTGGAGACCATGCACAAGAGGTGATCAGATTGGACGACATTTTGCATAACTTCAGAGTGAATGGTCAAATTGCAATACTCAGAGCAACCTGTTTCACTGTTGAAAGTTTGGGACCTGGAAACCAAACTTCACACAGGAGAATTTTTCAAATTTAGTACATGGTTGCAAGCATGACAAGTATAGCCGTCTTAAAATAGTGGGAGCAATAATTCAGCAATAAAGGAAGTGTACTACAAATGAATAAACAAACATTAACGAGAAAGGTAAGAACATAAAACAATATCAGGTAAAATAAGATAATCACATTTTCCTGTTCATAGTAAAAAGAAAGTATTTTGTTCACATAAAAAAACATTCAAGATAAAACCAAGTGCCCATCTTTGACCACAATAAGACATTAATTTTTTCTTTCAAAATTTGAGCTATTAATTAACTAACAGGAAAACTAATTCCGAAATTTTTTCAACGCTTTAGAAAAGATCATTCTTTAGTACCAAAACAACAACCTCAGCCACACAATTGACATCAACAGGTAATTTAGTCCAAGTTCATTGTTATTTATAGGTGAAGTTGTAGAGCATACACAACCGGCTCCATGATCATTGTTGAACTACAGTCCCAGGCTGCCAGGAAAGATTTTTGAAAGCACTACCATGTCAATGTGTAGATAAAATGGCATACTGAGACATTTTTCTGGCCAAATGAAGAAAGTCAGGTTCAAGAACCGAACTTGCACACATTAGACATTGAGGATTTCATGCTTGGTTAACAATCTCGTTAAAATACTTACCATGTTTGTAGGTCAAGTGCACAGTAATTCAAAATTCCAGATTCGGCTTTCAACCCTGCATAAATTTATAAGTACTGCAATGTGCTGCAACTACAATCATTGAGTTCTTATGCTAACTGCTGTCAATTATTCAGTCTGACTCCACCACTGGTAAAAAGGGTCCACAATCATGCTTGTAATTTGAAATTAAAGAAGGAACAGCCTTGGTTTTAAAATAAAACACGTCTATGTGGCAAACATAAGATAGCTATAGTGACTGGTGTAAATTAGTTTTCCATGTGCATTATCTTTCCTTAAAATACACATCTGATATTGGAACAAAAAAATTAACAGTTCCACATGAAAATTCAGAATTTCTTTCTAGGAGATATACAGGATTTCTAGAGAGACAATATAAATTAAGTGTATGAATTAATGTCTCTACAAACTTGATTGGAAGACTAATTATGAATAAGATTTACATCCAAAATTTTATTCAGTTTCCAATTTATAGCATCTGCAAATGGTTTAAAATTCAAAGCTCTGAAGTAAGCAATATCATGGAATCCATCAATATTGAGATATTAACAGAAGTCGACTTTCATGAACACTGAAGGGGAAAAAAAACTGCTAAAGAGGAAAGTTTATCAGCTGGACTGAATGATTCTTAAATCTAGCACAGTGTGGTTTAAATTCTACATAATGCAGATAGCAGACCAGAAAAAAGTCACTCCACTTAAAACATGTACAAGGATTTTGACCAATTATGAGTCCTTGATTCGATTCTCATTTTTAGTCTTTTCATTTTAAAGAGTTGTGTGAAACATCATTAAAGGTTAGGATTGCTAGAAACAATAGGAACTTTAAGTACACAAAATTGCTCATCACAAGGCCGCACGTTCAAATATTCAGAAACATCAGACAGAAAATGGCTTATTGCATTTCAAGAACTAGAAGTCAGCAAGAATTAAATTGAAGGAAGATCAAATGTATTCATGGGTTACATAAACAGTAGCAAAATGATTGAAATGTATAAACTTCCATTTCACCAATTGCCAAAATTAATTGCCAAAAGTAAAGTGGCTATCTTCTAGAACAAATAAATACTCCATCTAACAATTTCTTTCAGGGTTCTGTACATAAAGTTTTCTCTCATTTCCTAAATCTAATACTTAAACCAATTGCAACAAACAAAAAAATAACAATAACAAACGAATGAACAACTAGGAGAACAAAAGAAAAATTATGTATAAAGATCTCATCTTCTTACCTATATAACAGAGTGAAAATAAGAAAACTGCAAAAATGTGGAAATAGAATGAGATTTGTATTCTCTTTCTTCTCAGGGATCCCTAGTCTCGGTTACCGGTTCTGGGTAGGATTTGATTTGCTCGGTGGGGCCTTCCTTAAACTTGTCTCTACAGATTTCTTGGGATCTTCCATTGCTTTGCTGGGCTTGTGCGGATTTGCAGAAAATGAGGCCACTGAAGCTAGCAATCTTCTGGGTTGATTTCTGTATCTCCCTGGAACTTGGGTCCCTTGGTGCAGTGACAGTGAAGAACATGTCACAGCGTGCATGAGAATCAAGGCAAAGAAGGCAAGCAAGATTCTCTGACTGATTTTCATGGCGTGGTTTGGTTTGATTTTATCTGATGAAAAGAAAATAGAATGTGGGTAAGATGAAAGGACAGGGTATGGTGCCTGTACATATGAAGATTTTCTTCTTTAATCTCTAATAAAAGAAGGCAAAAAGCGGCAGTTCATGCTTTGTTATGCGTAATTTGGTTAACAAGTGTGAATGTAATGTAATATATAGATAACTAGAGTACATTCTCTCCCTCTCCTATGAACCTATTTGCTGGTCAAGTACTTATTTTGGTGTATAAAAAAAAGAATTTAATTTTTTTTGTTCAAGTCCAATTGATGAATACACTAATACATGAAAAATTATAAGTCAAATTACAAAAAAAAAAAAAATAACATAGACTTGCTCAGATATTTTTGGTTCAATTGTATTGACATGAAGTAAATGCAATTGTACAATGATCTTTTTTCTCAATATTGATATTGAAAGAGGTTCTAAGTTTCGGATCTCTCGGTCCTCGCTTATCAAGCAAAAAACACCATGTGCTCAGTGTGAATTTAATTTGCCATACATTGTGGGTGTTATGGGTTGGTTAGATAATTAGCAAGCAGAAAAATCCTTGTGCCCATTCCTTTGTTTTGTTGTGTAACAGGTTACAACTCGGAAGCAGCTGATCATGTGATGCTGAGTTTAATTGTCGTACTTGTATGACTTTTCTCTGCAAACTTGAATATTTTACAAAATAATCTCATGTGACTTATCACATGAGACCAAATCAGACGCCTCATTTCTCTGTCCATCCTTTTGCTTTGTTTAATAACCGATCACTATTCTATATTAAGTGGTACAAAACAAACACAGCTAAACTTGGCTGGGTAAGCTTGCTTTCCAAACGTGAAATACCCTTTTAATCTTCTACGAAACCATCACATATGCCAAGCTCCTGTATCAAGAACTAGCTCTGATGTGTGCCATCTCGAAAAGCAAGGTTTCTAACGAGGAACTTTAGCATACGCGTCGGTTATGTATAACTTTCTTCTCACTGCATACATATAAGAAAAAAGTTACATACAACCGAACCGGCGCATACAACGATTTTCAGGCTTCCATGCTTCAAAGAAGGCTCTCATTTTCAGACTTGCATTATATTTGAGTTTTTGCTCATTTCCCATGAACCCACATGTTTTCTCCAGGTTGAGAAAGGGGTTGAAAAGAGAACATGGAATTGAGCAGCAAGAAGATATTTAAATACCAAGTATGATTATCAACTTGGCCAAGCCCCATCAAGCCATCACGCATGCTGATCATTTTCTAATACAGCATGATTTTCTCTATTAAATTATGTGATTCGGATCAATCCCACAGTGAGCTCTAATTAGTCCACTTGGGATCAGCAAGCTTTTTAATCTACACACAATTTATAAGACTTGTGTGGTATTATTGAGCATGTGTCACTTTATTTTTATAATTATCGTCTTTTTTTTATCCATGGATGTCATGGTTGACGTCGACAGTTCACAATATGAACTCATCTCCATTGATAGAAGTCAATTGGTCGAGGAGATTAAAGAAGGAAATTATAGTTTTTGTAACACAAGATCTGGTCAAGGAACTCCTGAAAGTTGTATTTGCAATAAATTTTGTGAAATTTTGTTGAGAGGAGAGGATTTTCCATTTGGTTGATTCGTAAGTACATGTGGATCAAAGAATCTTTCTGCAGAGAAAAGCATGTGGTCTATGTCAGCAGGACTATGATAGAACACAGTGCTCACACACCTGACCTCTTTGATTAAGAGACCAAATGATGTTACTGTGTGTAGACTGAACCCAGAAGCAGTTTTCCTTCTTTTAAAAAAAATAAAAATAAAAATGGAAAAAAAAAACAAATTTATATCATATTTCTGTTAGCAATTTTACAGAAGCAAGCTACTGTTCTATGTTTTACAGAAATATGTTAGGAGAGCAGTATACCAGCTTAATTTCCAAAGAACCCTTTGGAAATGTGTTTTTCTTGTATGACCTGCCCACAATGCTTTTGTTGTGTTTTCTTTACATTTTAGTTTTAGGCAACTTTTGCAGGTTTTCAGTCCCATTTAGGAAAACCAATTTTAGAACTGGACTCATCCAATATAGAATCACCAGTTTTCTAAACTGGATTGAACTTTCATGATAACAATATAGAATCACCAGTTTTCCACATTACATTACTTATCATACAAGATATACAAATTCAGCAATTTCCATCAATTATTTTGACAAATAAAATGAATGAAAGAGCATAAGGCTTACATCGTTTATTCATTTGGCATACAATAGTTATCTCCTTCGGTTTCCCCATTGTCTGACAATATTGAAGCAGCATCCTTCCATACAAGATTACTATAACCAAATTGTCTAGCAAAACAAGAAATCAACTGGTCCTGAATTACTTCTTCTGTAGGAAGCACCAAGTCTGTCTCTCTTCTCAATGATGTAACTTCTTTATCTGCAATGCCACAAGGTACGATATGCTTAAAATAGTCCAAATCTGGATCAATGTTAAATGCCAATCCATGAGAAGTGATTCCATATGAAATCCGTACACCAATTGCACCAATTTTTCTGTCTCCAACCCAAACCCCCGTTTCACATTTTTTTCCGGGACAAGCTTTCACACCATACAAAGACGCCAATTCAATCATGGTGGACTCAAGATTCTCCACGTATTTACGAGCACCAAGCCCGATATCCCGAAGAGAAATAATGGGATATAAGATGGCTTGATGTGGACCATGAAATGTAATGTCTCCTCCTCTTTGTGTGTAGTGCAGTTCAGCTCCTATTCTTTTAAGTTCAGACTCGGGAATCAATAGATTGTGATCAGTTCGCCGTTTGCCAAGGGTGTACGTAGGTGGATGTTGCAAGGACAGGAGAGTATCTGGAATCTTATGAATTTTTCTATTGGAGGCCAGCTTTTCCTGCAGCTTAAGTGCATCCAGATAGCTGATAGCGCCCATTTTCAAGACCTCGAGATTTCTTGGAACTCTCATTCTCTGTAAACCACAGTACAACTAATTATGTATCTTTCTTTCGTCAAATAGAATTAACACAACACATCGTGTTCAGACTTCAGATCATATGATGTCTACAGCCTTTTATAAACTATAAAGAAATGATTAGCAAGTTACAAATTCATAGATAAACAAATCCATGCGAAGGGTGGAGGTCACTTGATTCCAAGTCACAAATTTTACAGTTAAAGCATGATATAAGTTGAACAGAATTTCAATTTCAAGGTATGAGTTGATAAAGCATGATATAAGTTGCCCAAAGAAAACTGAAAAGAGAATAACTTTACAGTATATTGAAGACACAGTATATCAATTTGATCTGCACATTGTAATATCAGTGTTTTTAAAGGTATGCCTTCGCGAGCGTCGGCGAGCGCGTCTGAGCGAGGCGGCAGGAAATCGCCCGAGGCGGTCAGCTGTTTCGCGAGTTGCACGTTTAGCGCGGGGAAGGCGTAAGGAGCGTTGCAAGGCGTGGCCAGGCGAGCCAGATCTGGAAACTTCTGAACCGGAAGAAATTTTGCGAGTCTGCAAATTGGCTGCGACTCTGCGAGGAAGACGACTCAGGTGTTTATTTTTTAGGTTTATTGTTATGAAACGACGTCGTTTAGATTGCAGTGTTTTAACTTTAAATGCAACGACGTCGTTTCGATTGCGTTTTAAAAAAAATTTATAACTGAAACGACGGCGTTTCACTTGGAGTGTTTTGAAAAAATAAACACAAGTTTCTGTTTTTTTTTTCTTACCTTAATTGTAAGCACATGCGCCAATTGGTTTTTTTATTTTTATTTATTTATTTATTTTATTTTTAGAATTAAGAAAAAATAACATGAGTAGTTATGTTCTATAAAAGTAGGAACTATTATCTGATTTTGTTTTTATTTTTATTTTCTTTTAATATGAACAAAATGTGAATTTACCATATTATCCTAATTTAATTAATAATTTCAATTCTTAATGTTTGAACTAACCAAGGGCATTTTCTAGAAGTCCATCTTAGCAGTTTTTTTTTTTTCCTTTTATAGCGTGTAAACTGTTAAGATGGACGTCTAGAAAAATACGGGCGATAAAGGAAAACTTTTAAAACGACGATTTATCACACGCGCGCGATTAAAATATGAAACTGTTGAAACAAACATCTATATAAATACATTTGCAAAAAAATATTTACGAAACTTTGGAAGTCGCGCATAGCATGCGTGATTAAAAAAAGCCTCTCGCACGCATGGAAGCGCGTGCAGGGAGGCTAGTCTAATGAACTTAGGAGCTAGGGGGATTCTTATTCAATTAATTACCCACATGTTAATATTATCCAAAACAAATCCAATATTAATAGGAAAATGTCAAATAATTTAAGTAAAATCATATTTTCATTCTACACAACATCGTAGTTTTAGATTATTGAAATAAAATTTTACATAATATGCACATAGGAGGAAGAAATGCAACGATCAAGACCACTGGCGCCACCCATTCCTCTCTAATTGATTTTTCACTTTTTTATTGTCAATCTATACATAAATAACATGAGATGGGACCAAGTTTAAACATACAATTTTAGCATAATTTGGGAACACGTATACTCACCTTTAATTTTGATAATTTATCCTTTGTTACATGCCTACTCCAATTATTGGAAGAAAATTGTTGCAAAAAATACAGTCATTTTCAAAAGTCAAGAGACAAAGGGAAAATCATTTCGTTCCTATATAAGAAGCCAAGTTTAACAATAAAACAATTAATAAGAAATTGGTAGAGGATTGAAAGAACAGTTTCATGATTTGCTACCTTAATTTTGTGCTCTAATTTCTCCACATAGCAACGGGTACGATATTTGTAAAACTGATAAAAAAATTAGTATAAAAGTAAATTAAAGTTTAAACTCACTCACTTGAGATGCTAAAGTGATATAAAGTACCTCGCGTAGAAAGTCTTTATGTCTTTGATTAAGTTTTCTCCTATACCAAAAGAAAAATGTTGTTAGAAAATTAGAGTATCATCATCAAGGTTATGATTTTTTTTTCTTTCTAATTTGAAATAAAAACAATACCTAATCCGACAAACTGTTTTGTAGGTCCAAATGATATGACGAACATTTGCATGTATGAGCTGTTCAAATGCATGATTTTTACGCCACCTATATTTGTCACTTGTCATCATTAACTTATAGGTAGGTAAAATAAATATTTCTCCAATAAAACAATACTTACTGCTTTGTTTTCTTTTTTTCCATTCTTTCAAAATTAGTCGACTAAGATCACTGTTGTTCATTGTAACTGAATAACTCCAACCCGATGAGACAACTGAAACATGTCTATTACACTCTGCATCCTGGTATTCAATTTTGTCAAAATACTATTTTCATGTACAACCATAAGCAATAGGACAGTTACATACTCCTAAATAAGGATTTAAATAAATTACATAAACATAACTTTTAATGTTGTACTAATTGAAAAGTAAAAAAAGTTTACCTTGTTATGATCATTTGTTGTATTAACGCACTGAACCAACCCACTTTGAACTCTATTTGTAAGCCCATGACCCTCCACTTTTCCTACCAAAATTGGAACAAAATGATTGATGTAACATGAAAATTAAAATTAAATAAATTTAATAACCAAAGCATGTACAAAACATCGCATTTATCTAGAGGTTCTAAAAAGAAGGGCATTATGTGCATTGTCTAACTCTTAAAAAGCATATATGTATTTTTTAAATTACAAAATAGGTATATGTAACTAATGTAACTCTTTGAGTCAAGTAACAACAAACAAACGGTTACAACAATAAATGATAAAAACATGCTGTGGTTATTTGAAAAGGTATTCGTGATTAAAATTATGCTTACTTATTTTTAATTGCCATCATTAGTTCAAATGAAGTAGGACTTCTTTGTACACCACATTCCGAGTGAAAACGCCTTCTTGACCGGTTATTGACCCTTTTTTCACTAACACTTTTGTAGTCGACTTTGAAACACCCCTCGATAAACCCACGTATAATTGTCCATGACTGAAAACGTGATCCCGAAGAAAAATACCCACATGTGGTATTGTTTGACATTGAGATTTATTTATAGTGAGAGCAAAACTCAACTTCACTGGAAATTGTTTTCTTGTTAGTTCAAATGGTAGCCCAGCAGTCTCAGTTGTCTTTAGAAGGATACGTGGTAGAAAAACCCTGGTCCCAACAGATTGTCCGGTTAGAATTTCAGCATCAATGAGATTTTGGTACGACCCACGACATAATAATCTTGTTCCATTACACAATCTCAATTTTGGGTCAATATTTCTGAGAAGCATGACTGGAGCACCTCTCTTCAAAGTTAACTTATGTGGTGGCAACCCACCAATGCAAATTGAGTTCAAGAATTCCGGGTGATTCAAATTCCTCGTGTCATCCTCAACTAAATCAAACGAATACATTGCCCTTTCCACCATGTCAACATCTTCATTTGTAAGAGTTATCACTACCCTTTCCACCATGTAACTTGCATCATTTATATGATCCTCCAAATTAGGGAAAACTTGATAAATAAATTCATTGATGGATAACTCATTCTCCCATGGTATTACCAGGCATTCAGGTACTCTTGTCATATCATCTCCAACAACAGGTTCTTCCCCATCACCAACACGAAGTAAAAATTGTGAAAATTGTTGATCATTCTTGGATCTCATGTTTTGTCTAAGTTTCAAAATTTTTACTTGTGACCAAAATGATGCTTTCACCACACTGGCCTGGATCAGTTTCGACTTTGTTCCTTTAGGAATAACAGGAAGTACTTGTCGAAAATCTCCCCCAAAGATCATTGTTTTCCCCCCAAATGGTAAGTCAACATCAATTATGTCTCTAAAAGTTCGATCTAGTGCTTCAAAGGCATGATGATGTGTCATCGTTGCTTCATCCCAAATAATTGCCTTTGCCTTTTGTATTAACTTTGCCAAATCAGATTGTTTACTGATTGAACATGTAGATGATGAATCTGGGCTAAGTGGTATCTTGAATCTAGAATGTGCCGTTCTCCCACCAGGTAATATTGTAGCTGCTATTCCAGATGTTGCTGTTGCTAATACTATATGGCCCAACCTTCTCAAGTTTTCTAACAATGCACAGTATAAGTAAGTTTTTCCAGTTCCACCTAGACCATCCACACAAAAAATTGAATTCTGACATCATTCAATTGTGTCCATTATTATGTTAAATGCAAACTTTTGGTCGTCATTAAGACGTTCAATTGCAAGAAGATCTTCTTGTGAAATACCTATTGAGAGTTCATCTTCAATACATCTAGGCATTGCAGAAACTACTTTTGTTGTCATTTGAGGCAAATTGTAGTCCTTGATATTCTTGCTAAACTGTACCAGAAGTGTGTTTAAGTCACGTAAAAGTCTGTTCACAACAACATTGCAACTTAAGTTACTCGGGAAAGCATAATCTTCAATCATGCATGGATAGAATTCATCCCACAATGTTCGGACACCAACTGGTCCACAATATACCAAAATGGTGACAAATAATCTTCTTAAGGCCGATGACATCTGAATTGTAGAGGCCTCAAGCAAACATTGTTGAATACTATCGTCTCCTTCTAACAAAACTTGTTGTTCTGCTACCTCCTTAAACGTTGGTTGCAAAACGCCACCAACTGTCATTAAATTTAAAAATGATGTGGCTCCTCTGACATGATTCAGAAGTATGCGTAGGTAAAATTTCTCACCTTCAGCGGGTGAGACTGTATATATTCGCCCAATAACCCTAAGATGATTCTTTCTTTTAGACCAACCTCTTTCAGAACAAATCCATCTATAATGCTCAGGGATCTCCCTGTACAAATATCTCCCTGCTTCTGCATCATTACGATTCAAAGTGAAAAATTCTATGAGCATTGTCTTGTTAAGTCTCTCGTCTGTCAGAGTATTTTCAATAATCTGGTCAGATTGAAATCGAACTTGATGCATATTAGGAAGATGTATTTGTAAGCGCTCCACAATTGGGTATATCCGATTGATTACAAACTTGAATATCCTTAACAATGCCTCTGGTGCACAAACCCATCTTGCATCAACAAACTGTTGTATTTCATCACAAACAAGATCTGGCTGAACTCGAGTGCCACTCTATCTGGATCTTTGTAAACATACTTATATAAATATTTGACGCTTTTTATGCTTGCACATATTTCAACATTAATGTGGCAGTTATACCTCAACAACAACCAAGGATTACATGGAATAACCCAACTATTATCAACCGTTATATTTCCTCGTCGATTAAGTGGGACAGGCATGCGATTTCCTCGCCTTCGATAAAATTGGATATGAATCATTCCCTTGAATAGTGGATGCAGCAAATGATTTAGGGTAATTTCTTTTACACCTTCCATTTTTCATGCAAGGAGATTCTGGATTTTGAATTCCACATGGACCGTGAATCATATGTTTTAATACCACATTATAAAGTTGAGGCTCTTCATGTTCGTTTGGTATTTCAGCTTTAACAATTTGGTCATAATCATCAGGGTTATTGAGCTTATCATTTTCATCTAACACAACCAACATATGCATATGTGGAAGACCCCGTTTTTGAAACTCAATAACGTATGCATAAGCAACAACAGTACCTAATACCCCTTTCCCGTTGATGTCTTCTTTTAGTTTGTCTAATTTTGCACGAAATACTCTAGTGAGTAAGTCGGGACGATCTTGTGGCGTTTGTCCAGGGAGTAATTCTCTCTTAAATTCTTCCCAATTTGGGCTGCATGTCATGATAATGAATAGATCTAGCCTGCCAAATCTTTGAACCAAAGTCATCGCACCTTGATACCGTTGATACATGTCGCGTGGGCTTCCAACAAAGGATGTTACCTGATTCATTGTTATTTTCGTTCAATAAATGTTTTACACAAACCTGGAACTGTATATTTATATTTTTTTTTAAACAATTGATATTAAATATGTACATGCATTATTCACCACTCTAATTAAAGAGTCTTGGAGTCCTTGGTAGAGCTCAGCTCGTATTTTTTCTTGATTTGAACGCATCCATCTAAGTTTCTGAGATTCAATTTTTACGTAATTATCTACAATATATTGTTGTAAGAGACGACCCCCTCGAAGCAAAAGTGATGATGATTCACCCTCACGTATATGCAAATCAGTCTTTAGCTATAGATTAGGATGTAATATTTCAATGTTTAGTTGGAAAAAAAATCATATTTTGAGTACAAACCTGTAACATGTAAGCATAATAGTCGCAACATGATACACCTCTTCCGTTATCATCATGAGTATTAATATCTCACTCATATGTTCCTTACGGTAACAATAATGGATATTGTAGTTGTGCCTATCATAGCATCAAGGGATCCGTATCCGTCTCTCACCCTCTCAAATGTTCTACGGGACACTGGTGATTTAGAGAAATATCTCTTAAAAAAAAGAACTCATCTCGGGTTGTGTGATAAATCACATTTGAGAAGACGTGTTACCATACTATATATATATATATATATATATATATATATATATATATATATATATATATATATATATATATATATATCTGTGGCAAAAGGGTAGGGGCGGGAGCAAGTTGTTGGACACTTGTTTATATTTTGGACACAATGTCATATACTTAAAAGCATGTACCAATTGGTTTTATTTTATTTTTAGAATTAAGAGAAGATAAAATTGGTGGTTATGTTCTATAAAAATATGATATATTATCTGATTTTGTTTTTAATTTTATATTTTTTTAATATGAAAAAATGTGAATTTACCATATTACCTTCATTTCAAGCATATCTTTGGGAACCAATTATAGTCAATGAGTTTGAAAAGAAATGAGAGTTTTTGAAGGACAGAGTTACAACACATAAACAAAAGGATGACTGCAAATGATGTATGCAAAAAGGGATGCATGGGCGAAATCAAGTCTTAGACCCAAGTTTTTTGGTGGTATGTGTACTACTCAATGTGTGGAGTGTATGAACAAGTTTGTAAAAAATTACTTGAGGAAAGGTGTTAAGTTGTTTGAATGCATACCACCGAAAACAGTCAAAGAAAGTGCTTACAACAACACTGAAACAAGCTTCCCAAATTTACACACATATGTGTTTTTTATTGGTATGTAACGAGATCAATATTTTGTCAGCACTCATTCATGAAAAAATAATTCCTAATTTCGGAGGACGGTTGTATATTTTAGTGAAATACGGTGAACCGCAAAATAATTGAAGTTGTGTGTACCTTGGCGAGAAAGATATTCGAATAGAGTGCAACTGTCAGAAATATGAAAGTGAAGGCATCCCATGTTGCCATGTGTTTTATGTGATGAAGTGGGAGCATGTTATGAAAATTCCCTCGTCACTCATAATGAAGTGATAGACAAAAACTGCCCGAATGGACATTGGATATGCATTTATGTCAGAAAGTGGTAGCAAGAAGGTTGTACAAACCGCGAGATACGAAAGTTTAAGTTGTATTGCCAACAAAGTGTGTTTGTATACATCAAAGAGCACATATGGGTATAATATTATTCATAAATTTGTCTTATTAAAATAAATTATTGTTCAAAAGGCTTACACCTCACTGCTTCAAGGCTTACGCCTCGCATAACACGACTAAAACGCCTCGCATCAACGCCTCGCCATTGTGTAATATACTGGAGAATTAAATGTGAATTTCTTGAATTCTTGAAGATATGGGCAAGCAGAGAAACAAACAAATAACCTCTATCACCGCAGCTACAACTTGTATTATCTTGGTTTCTTGAGATTACAAGTTATACCATTTACATATCAAACATATGCTCTCTAAACAGACAGACAAAAGTTTGTTTTTTCGGCATGCCATGGCAGCTCTGTTAGGATAGGGCTACAATCCAAATGGAAATTGGCATATAGACCCACTGAGCTTCAAAAACTATCATGTTAGCATTTGACCAAACAGTTAATAGGCATCAAATGTTAAGCATGAATTCACAGATTCAAACAAGCCAAATGATAAAAGATACACTGCTAATGGGAAAGAAAGAAAAAAATCAAAAATCAAAAGTCATCAAATGTTAATCGTGGATTCAAACCAGCAAAGGATTCAAAAATAAACTACTGCTAATACCACATTTTTGGGAAAGAAAACAAATTTACAAAATAAAGAGTCTTCAGAAAGTAGAACCAGTGACTGCTTACCCGTAGATACCAAACCACCGAAGATGAGAGAGAGAGAGAGAGAGAGAGAGAGAGAGAGAGATAGACAGATGGTTTTGTCCAATCTTAATCTTTTACGGTTGAACGCACCGTTTCAGCTCTCCACTCGTTTCCCTTCTCTCTTTCCTAGACGAATTGCCAAGCATTTGGTTCGTTTGAAGCGACCTAATCCTGTTCACAGCTGCAAACTAAAACCTTATTTGCATAAGCTAAATTTTCGCATAACCTTATATTGGACATAATAGTGAAACCTCCTAAATTAAATTCAACACTTCGCATCAGATAAAAGACTGGATTGGGGAAGTTTTTATCCTTGCACAAAGCACTTTGAAGTGTTCCGCAAAGCATTTGAACTTGTAATAAACATTTTGAGATGTTTCTAAACTACTTCCAACAAATGCGCAACAGTTTTGAGCGGAGGTAGCACTATCGTTTTTTATACAAAAGATATTAAGAAAGGTGGAATCAAACTTAGATCCTTGATACATGGGTAATTACTCTTAACCACTTTAGCTACAAGTCACTTGCACAAAAGTAGCACTATATGTTAAATAACCCGCTGCTGGATCTTGTTCTTTAATGTAACCAACGGCAATAGACTAAACTAGCAATTATTAGGAAACTTAGAAACACACAAGAATTATACTGGTTCGGCAGAACTTTTGCCTACGTCCAGTGGTGATTTCTCTCCTTTGATTAATTATAGAGATTACAGAACTTTTGCAAACCCTAGAACTAATCTCAAAACTCTTGGCTGTCTCTGGCTGTTTATCCCCTCCTTAAAATAAGCTTTGCCGCACCTTATTTATAGATATAGAGTTGGCTTACATGTTCCAAAGCTGATTGAATTCATATTTCTAAGTGGATTAGGAAATTACACTTATCCAAAACCAAATATGCTTCTAGAAATCCAAACCTGAATTGAATAAGGAAAACTGAAATTCTTTCCTAATCCTTCTAGGACAAGAATCGGTATACCTCTAATTTTCCTAAAAACAATCCTAAACCAACTAGGACATATTTGACGAGCCAAAATCCTAACAATCTCCACCTTGGTGAGTCAAACCAAGTCTTGATCGTTGCACCCCAGAGTATCTTTGAACCTCCTTGAAGCAGCTCTGGAAATCTTCAAGAGTTTTCACCTGGGCAATCTTCTTCTTGCCTCATTGCACCTCAAGTGAGGAGGTGCTCCACTTTAATCAATCAACGAGATTGATCAAGTTCAAGCAATGCTTGAACTTCTTGACTGGCACTATCTTTGTAAGGAAATCTGCGGCATTGTCATCCGTATGAACCTTTTCAATCCAAATCTCCTTAGACTCCACCCAATTT